CTTGTTGCTGCAGCCCAAGCCACACCAAGCCACTGGTTTCCTTTGCATGCTCTTTAGGATAACACTAACAGCTCTGAAAAAAAAAAAAAAAAAAAAAAAAAAAAAAAAAAAAAAAAAAAAAAACAAAACAAACCAAAAAAACACCAAAAACTATTTAGGGCATATGGCTTCAGGACTAGCTGTTTTTAAAAAAAAAAAAAAAAACTCCTCAAAGTTATTTTAACTGTGTAATTGTCAGCCTTGAGTGTTTTTGAATTTTTAATGCTTAGGGTTTTTATGGTAAATAGGCTTAACAGTTAACCTGTTAACTGTTGTGTTCAGTTTTACTTCAGAAATTCGGATTATGCTTGTTCTGAATCTTCATTATGTAGGAGTTATTGTGTTTAATCTGCTTTACTCAGTGGAATGAGAGAAAAGTTCGCTGTTTGCATGTAATGAATCACCTTGTTTATTTAATGTTTTCCTTGTTCTTTACATAATTTAAATTGACAAGAGATAAAAAGAGGCATTGCCACTGTTGGGGCAAGTGTGTAAGCAGGAATTCCTTGAACATGTGTATATGCATATTTGTCATGTGAAGACACTTAGCTAAAGTCATACTTCATAGAAATTGTCTCAGAATATTGGCAATCCCTTAAAAATTGATCCAGGTTAGGTATTAGTAATGCTATTTCTGTCTCTTAACATGAAGATCATCTTTTCTGTAGAAGTGCAGGAGTTGCTGGCATGTTCTGCTGTTTTCTTTTGCTTACCAGTGAAAGTTTCTTTGGTGGAGTCTGGAGTTATGTATTTGCCTTAAATGATCTTCCTGGCACCCAGTATCGTATAAAGCTCTCTGGCAACTAAATTTCTTTTTCTGTTTCTCATCCTCCTTACCCCCCATTTTTGTGGTGAGTCCATATGTTGGAGGATAAACAGTGACTTATCCAGAGTTAATTTATGCTCTGCTTCTTAGCACTTCTGAGACTTCCAATCATCCAGGGCAGCTCACTGCAAAGAAAGAGATCACCAATCCTGGCTGCAGCGTTGATCCAGCTGATGGGATGGCCAGGGTGCCACCTGGACTTTGTGCAGCTACTTCTCTCTGGCCTGGAGATAACTAAATTGCATAGAAAGTGAGAAAGTTGTGCACAGTCTGTTCTTATAGACATTCCTGGAAATGGTTTATGGGGTTTTAGGGTTTTTGGTGCTGATTCTACCCTACAATCCATACTGGCTTCTCAACCTCATTCCTGCGCTTGCACCGTTCCGTTACACTTATCTCCAGGAGCCAGAACAAGGACGTTTGTCCTGGAAAAGTGCTGCCCTACCTTTGTATGGCTCCCTTCTCCAGCCACATGCTGTTCTTTTTCACAGTATGTTATTGCCAACAATCCTTGGCTGTTATTACCAGCAATCCTTGGTTGGCTCCACAGCTATCTGGCTATCAGTGTTTGAGACATGCACATGAGCCCCCTTATCTTCTAGGCTTCTACACTCCCTCAGCTCTTTCAGAAAACTTAATTTGGAGAAGTTAATAATATTTCTAGTGTACAAATGGTACCAGCAGTACTCCCCAAGCATTTCCTTTTATCTTTATGCTTGTTTTCAGTGAAAGTGTCAGACATCAGGACTTGCACGAGTAATTGAAGAAAAAGGTGGTTTTAGTGTGCTCAGAGTTTCCTAGGTTTTATGCTGCTGTTGGCCATCTCTTTTGGTCATAGAGACTATTGCATTTAGCCTACGAAAGCTTTGCTTGATTGGGAATCCCCAAAATGGAATATACATGGGAAGAAAGTGGTTGACAGAATTATTTCTTACTGGTTCATAACCACTTCTTTCAGATTCAGGTTCTTTGTGTTTGGAAAAAAAGGAGCTACAGCTTTGCCCAGATTCATGTTTTGATTCACTGTGTGAATGTAGCTGAAATGCGTGTGCAGTGAAGGGGAGGGCTTAGAAGAACCTGGGTCTTGGCTGGTTGGAGAGAGGTCAACCAGAACTGTGTATCAGAAAGCATTCCAGCCACTACCAAGTGGCTGATGTGTCTTCTAGTCTCATTCTAACATTAATGAGAATTTGGACACGATCTGTGTCTGTCAACCTGATAGTAGAGAGCACAGGTATAAAGGAGAATGCTGATGCCAGGGATGCATTCAGTTCTGGTCTTCACTGTCTATATATCTTTATTTGGAAAACTGGATTGTACAAGGATAAATTGCATTTTTAAATAATGAAGAAACCGTGCTACTCTGGACTGTTATTTTGCCTGAGCTAACCAGGTCTTTTCTCCATTTGGAAAAATCAGACCTGCAATTCAGCCTGCACACAGTCCTGAGTGAAGAAGCAGCTATATTACTGAGAACAGGCACAACACACACTGAAATGCTTTGGCCTTTGTGTGGCTGGGTCCCTGTTTGGCTGCTGTAGACAATGCCTGAAGAGCTGTATAATTGCAACCTGTATAGTTCTGCAGTGAGGAGAGCATGAATGCCATGAGAATATTCACAAGTAATTGCTCATTGTGAGATTTTTGAGTCGTTCTAACAGCTAAAAAGCTGTGGAATCTGCATCTTGCTTGAGCTACTTCATGAGTATATTTAACCTAGAGTTAAAGTACTGAATTAGTCCTGAATTGCTGTATTTTCAGACAGTTAATACTGCTGCTGCTTACTTAGTGACTGTGTCACTGGAGATTGAATATGCTGTTTAGGATCTGAGCATCAGCTCTGAGAAATTGGGCCAGGTTGCTCATGGCTTTGGTCCTGAAAAACCTCTGAGGAAGGAAACTGAACAAGCTCTCTGGATAGCCTATGCCACTGCCTTCCCAAGCAAAAAATTTCTTCTTATATCTAGTTGGAAGCTTTCTTCAAGATTATTGTGTGCTTAAGGGTAGTGAAGCAAAAAAAAAACAAAAAACAAAAACCACACAAAAAAAAAACCAAAAAAAAACCAAACAAACAAAAAAAAACCCAGAAAAAGAAAAACACACACACACAAAAAACCCCAAACAAACAAAAAACAAAAAACCCCCAAACCAACAACTAATTTAGATATTTTGAATTTGGGATGAGTAATGGTTATTTTCTTAAGGAAAATTAAGGAGTTAACTGCATCAGTATTTTCCCTCCTTGGTAGAAGAGTGGCAGCATTTCACTGCCTGTGCTGCTTTGAGAAATCCAGTTACTCAGTTGCAGGTGCAGGGCAGGGTTAATGGTTATCTAGATACAGAGCTTTATCTTGCCGCTTGAAAAGCCTCCAGGGAATGGATGGATCAGACCTGCTAATTACACAAGCTAGAGGCTGCAGAAACCTGGAAGTGGAACAGGTGACAAAAATTGCAGAGAACACCTTGGCTTCTCTCACCAGCTGGGCCAGCAGGTGTTGACAAGCACATAAAGGTAGGGGTGGGAAAACTGTCAGCTTTTCCTTTTCTCACCTTTGGCAGAAAGGGAGTAAGTAGAACAGCTTATCTTTTATGTTTAAATGTCATTTCAGATGAAAAATTTTATCAGATTCTGTTCCCAAATGTGTCTCACAAAGCAAAAAAAACAGAAAGAGCAAGCAGCTGTCTTCAATTTAAGTTAGAAGTTTTTCTTTAAAACTAGAATAAACCTCCTTGGTTTTTTCTTTCTTACAACATCAGTTATATTGGACAAATTAATATTAGATTTAATAGGCTTTCTGTGACATGTAAAAAAACTCCAGCAGATTTTATACTCAAGAATATTGCTCTTACTCAGCAAGTCCTATTTTCTTGTTGGAAAAAAAGGCTCTGCTTGTATAGTAGCTTTCTGGCCAGGAAAGAATCGACACTATTTTGCTCTAGAAGTATTTACTAAAATGGAGAGTTTTCATTTTATAGATGAGGAATTAAGGGTTCTCTGGTTTGAAGTGATATCAGCCTGTGCTTTCCTTGTACCTCAAGTGTTCTTACTACATCTTTACTGAAAATCAGTTTCTTATGTTTGGTCTTTTACATCTCTGAACTTTCACTTGTTTTTACTTGTTTACTTTTCTTGTTCAAAACTACTTATGAACATGGAGATTGTAGGACTGTGCAAATGATTTCTACATCTAGTGCCCATTGTGGCATATTTGGTATTGCCAAGCACATTCCAAAAAGTGATAGTGAAAAAAAATCTCTTGTGGGAAATCCTCTCATCTTTGGGGATGATTAAAAATAAAACCAAAACAAAAAAAAAAATCACAGCAAAACCCACAGATTAAAAACACTGTGGAAGTAGAGAGAATATAAAAATATCCAAATCCATCAAGCCAGTCTGGTGAGATATATATATATATATA